AGGATTCAGATACAATCACAATTTTTACTATGAAGACATGGTAAGCATATATATTGGAACTCTTTTGGGTTATGGAATTTAAGGGAACTCTGTGTCAATGTAATTCTGAGTATGTTCACTAGGACTCTGAACCTCGAAGGCTGAGTCTTGTGTTTCTTTGTATGATGTGGCTCTGTAGAATAAACAGCTCCCAGAAATCTTTAATCTTTTTTTGACTCCTCTTTGAGTGGTTTTAAGGCTCCCTCTCCATGGCACCAGACATTTAGAGATGAGAGCATACATGTTTACACAAAGCATTGTGATCTGCTCTCGTGTCAGTTTCAGTGGTGTGCAGTATTAGAACGATGGAAGAGTTTTCTTTCTCATGGGGTAGTGCAGGGGTCAGCAAACTATAGCCAGCCGCCTATTTTTGTGCCACTCACAAGCTAATGTTTTTTATATTTTAAATAGTTGGAAAAAAAATCAGAATAAGAGTACTATTTAATGACAGGAAAATCAAGTGAAATTCACATTTCATTGTCCATAAAGTTTTATTGGAACCCAACCACTCTTTCATTTACATTTTGTCTATGGCCACTTTCATTCACCAATAGTGGATTTGAATAGTTGCCCCAGAGACCCTCTGGCCACATAGCCAAGAATATTTACTATCTTGCCCTTTATAGAAAAGTTTGCCAACCCTTAGTACAGTATATAATATGATAGAAAGAAAAGAATAAACCTAAAACTGTGAGGAATGCTTCCACAAAAACAAATGTGGTGTCAGAGTAGTCACTGGTGTGGAAGGAGAGCCGTGGGAACTGAGTTCTGGCACCTAAAGGAATGGGTGAGGAACATGGTGGCAGACAGAGTAAGTATGGGCAAGAGGCCCTGAGCTTAGCAATAGTTGTTCTGTATCAGGATTCCCAGAGTTTGCAGGACAGCTGTGTGTGAATCTGGTTCTCTGCTAAATCACTTGTCTTCCCATCTGCTCTTTAAAAACTCACTTTCAGGCTGGCTATGCATGGTTGCTCACGCCTATAATCCCAGCACTCTGGGAGACTGAGGCAGGGGATGGCTTGAGCCCAGGAGTTTGAGACCAGCTTGGGCAACATAGTGAGACATCGTCTCTACAAAAATCAAAAATAAAAATATTAGCCGGGCTCAGTGGCTCAGCCTATAATCTCGCACTTTGGGAGGTCGAGGTGAGTAAATTGCCTGAGCCCGCAGGTTCGAGACCTCATCTCTACAATAAATCCAAAAAATCAGCCGGGCATGGTAGCGTGCACCTGTAGTTCCAGCTACTTGGAAGGCTGAGGCGAAAGGATCGCTGGAGCCCAGCAGGTCAAGGCTTCAGTGGTCGGCAGCGTGCCACTGCACTCCAGTCTGGGTGACAAAGTGAGACTCCAACTCAAAAAAAAAAAAAAAAAATACACTAGCCAGATGTGGTGGTATGCTACTCAGTAGGCTGAGGTAGAAGGATCACCTGAGCCCAGGAGGTCGAGGCTGTAATGGGTCATAATCATGCCACTGTATTCCAACCTTGGTGGCAGAGTGAAACCCCAACTTTTAAAAAAAATTAAAATATACTTCAGCCTAGATAATAAATAGTACTTTACTTACTACACAGTACTGCTGTATTGCTTTGAATATTAGGTCTGGCAACAATAAACATTTATATTTATGTGTTTTATATGTGTTTGAGAGTCATTAGACTGCATCATTTCTTTTTTTTTTTTTTTTTTTCTTTTCCTTTTTTGTTTTTTTGAATCAGATTCTTACTCTGTCACCCACACTGGAATGCAGTGGCCTTATCAGTGCTCACCACAACCTCAGCCTTCTGGGCTCAGGTGATCCTTCCACCTTAGCCTCCCTCCCAAGTAGCTGGGACTGAAGGTGTATGTCATCATGCCTGGCTGGCTGGTTTTTTTATTTTTTGTAGAGAAGAGGTCTCACTATGTTATACAGGCTGGTCTTACACTCCTGAGTTCAAGTAACCCTCCCACATCAGCCTCCAAGATTACAGGTATGAGCCACTCACCTAGCCTGAGTCATTTCTAATTTACCAGGAATATGTTTGCTGCTAATTATATGCTGAGGCTTCATTTCAGGTCAGTTTTTTACAAATCAGTATTTTTCTTCTCTTGAAACTTCTGACATGTAGATACGAAGCAAATCAAATGATTAGTGATTTTCTTTCTTAAAAGAATCCAAGGTGATTGAGAACCTTTTAAATTTGATGGAAATGTTAGCCTAATAATTTTGTGGGATAAAATAAAAGATGAAATTGTTTATAGTTAATCTCTTCAGCATCTGTGTCTTTCATGTTTCCATGAACAAAAGAACTTTGATCTGAATAAGGGTGCTGTTAGGTAGATTGCTACCAAATGGAATAGCTATAAGGGTTAGCTATAAGGGCTATGCCTAAGGATTTGTCATTTCACATTTTTGTTCCTAATGATAACATATAGAGGACATGAAAATTACATTTCTAGTTAACAATAGCCAGGAAGGGCCGGGCTCGGTGGCTCAGCCTGTAATCCCATGCTTTGGAAGGCTGAGGTGAGTGGATTGCCTGAGCCCGCAGGTTCGCGACCTGCCTGGGCAACTTGGCCAGACCTCATCTCTACAATACATTAAAAAAAAAAAAAAAAAATTAGCCAGGCGAGGTAGCGCGCGCCTGTAGTTCTAGCTCCTTGGAAGGCTGAGGCGGAAGGATCACCGGAGCCCAGCAGGTCGAGGCTGCGGTGGCTGGGAGTGGCCACTGCACGCCAGTCTGGGTGACAGAGTGAGACTCCAACTCAAAAAAAAAAAAAAAAAAACAATAGCCAGGAAGGAAGAATTAGTACACAAAGTTATGTCAGTAGTCTAGAGTGCTAGAAGTTAGAATTTAAGAGCAAATTGAAGTCTGACATTTAATTTTTTAGAAAGCATTTTTAAAATATATTGTAAGGATACTGACTTCAGAAATTCAAAGGGAAAAAAATCTAGGTAGTTCATCAGTCTAATTTGAAATATGAAAAACATGTCAAGCTTTTTTTTTTAAAACAAGCATAGTAGGTTATATTTGTTGTTCTTGGCAAAATGTAACCCTGATGGTGTTCACTGTGTTCAATATCTGATAGACTGTCATGTGGAAGGAGAGAGGTCTGTTCTGTACTGCTCAGTGAAGGACCTAAACTATAGCCCTTCAGTTGAAATCAGGTTTAGACTTGTAATGAAAACCTGTTTAAAATAATATGTGCCCCCCCAAAAAATAATAATAATAATATGTGCCCAGTAGTAGAAGAGATTACCTCTTAGTTGAAATAAGACATTGGCATTTGATATTAGGTGAAAAACTATGTGATTTCTATGTTGCCTTTCAACCTAAAACTTCAGTAGATATTTATGGATATTATCACAGCTTCATGATTTGTGTATTTAGTAATGTTTTATTGAGTTCTTACTATGCAGCAGGTACTATGCTAAGCAATCAACGCGTATTATGTACTTTAATTCTCACAACTCTGTGATGTAGATGCCACTTGTGTCCCATTATACAGATAAGAAAAATGAGATTTAGGGTGTGGTGGTTTGTGCCTGTAATTCCAACTACTCAGGAGGCTGAGGCAGGAGGATCACTTCGGGCCAGGAGTTCAAGACCAGCCTGAGCAACATAGTGAGGTCATATCTTTAAAAAAAGAGAGAAAAATGAGACTTAAAGAGGTTAAATAAATCACCTAAGATTAGTGTCACAAGTGCTACTTGTGGGATTCAAGCTCACATAGGTCTAATTCCAGAGATCATACCTTAATCAGTATCCTACACTGATTCCCGTTTGATCTGCTTAATAGTTTAATCTCAAATTGTAATGTAGTATATCAAGATAGTGCTTGTTGTATCTATCTTTATAGGAAAAATCAAACATTTCCAACTGATGCTGTAGTTAGAATGATATGTGAGTGAGATTCTTAACTTTTATAATTTTAGAAGGTGATATTATTCTTTAGAGTCAATTAGTAACAATGAAATTCATCATATTATGCTTCTACGTTGTTGGTGGGAGTGTAAATTAGTACAGCCTCTGTGGAAAACAGTGTAGTGATTCCTAAAAAATCGACCTTCCATATGACCCAGCAATCTCCCTCCTGGGAATATACCCAGAGGAACTCAAATCATTCTATGAAAAAGATGCCTGCATATGCATGTGTATTGCAGCATTATTCACAATAGCAAAAACATGGAACCAACCATGTTGACCATCAAAATTCAACTGGATAAAGAAAATGTGGTACATACACACAATGAACTATTACACAGCCATAAAGAAAAATAAAATTATGGACTTTACAGCAATTTGGGTGGATTTAGAGTCTATAATACTCAGTGCTCTATCACAGAAACAAAGATCTGGGTACCACATGTACTCATATAAAAGTGGACCCTGAATATTTCTCATAATACTCTAAGAAAGGGATTGGCAGTAGTGGGACACTGCCGGTGGAGGGGGCACATAACATCAATAAGGGTACCTGATCTCAAACCAGGCAAAGTGGGGACCAAAGGGAGACCCAACATTCACCTCTATGATGACCACATATGTACCTAACCCTAAATTATTTCTTAAAAATAAGAAAAAAATAAACAAGCTACAAGAAAATAAATAAATTCATCATATTAGGAGTTCTGGTGACTAATTTCTATTAAAAAATCAAATGGTTTTTTAAAAAATTTAAATCATTTTATGTACAAATGTGTAAAATATTAACTAAGTTATGTGTAATTGCAAAACTATGGACTTTAATATTTGGTTATTCCCTATTTCAAAATATTGATTTTGCAGTATTAGAAATTATATTTTATTGGTTAAATCTGTAGATATAGCCTATATAAATTTATAAGTGATATTGCTTGTTTTGTGATTGAATACGCACTAAAGTTGAATATTTACCAGTGGGTATTTGGAAATTTTGTTGTTGTAATTTAAAATCTCTGAAAAGTTGTCAACTTCAACAGTGAATGTTTTTGCTTAATTCTAGGGGGAAATTTGCAGTGGTGAGAAAATGTATAAAGAAAGATTCTGGGAAAGAATTTGCAGCAAAGTTCATGAGAAAAAGAAGAAAAGGCCAAGATTGTCGAACGGAAATAATTCATGAGATTGCTGTACTTGAACTAGCACAGGATAGTCCTTGGGTCATTAATTTACATGAAGTTTATGAGACTCCAACAGAAATGATCTTAGTTCTGGAATAGTAAGTATTATCTTCCTTAGGTTAAGTTTGTTTAATAGTCTACACTTCCTTTATAGGATGTTACTAGACCTGCTTCTCTGGAAATCTGAAGATTGTCTAGATCTTTTTCATGTATTCCTCTTAGTAATTTGACCTTTTCCAAATTTTCAAGGGCACATGAATGTTAGCTTTTTCATTTTCATTCTTTAATGAAATTATTTAACAGGATAAAAAGTTATCTTGCCGGGCACGGTAGCTCACTCCTATAATCCCAGCACTTTGGGAGGTGGAGGTAAGAGGATTGCCTGAGTCCAGGGATTCAAGACCAGCCTGGGCAACATGGCATGACCTCATCTCTGTAATAAATCAAAAAATTAGCTGGGCATGGTGGCATACGCCTGTAGTTCCAGCTACTTGGAAGACTGAGGTGGAAAGATTGCCTGAGCCCAGCGGGTTGAGGCTTCGGTGACTGTGAGCATGCCTCTGCACTCCAGCCTGGGCGACAGAGTGAGATTCAAAAAAAAACAAAAAACAAAATTCTCTTATGATTTTTTACAGACTTTCTTAGCAAGGTAAATAATATCAAAATAATATTAAAATAAAAGCCATTTTATAATCCCTTACATGTTCTCATAGTCTGAGTTAATCTTTCTTTTGGAAATAGTCGTCTTTGGCCAAGTGCGGTGGCTCATGCCTTTAGTCCCAGCACTTTGGGAGGTCAACACAAGAGGATTGCCTGAACCCATGGGTTCGAGACCAGCCTGGGCAACTTGCGGAGACCTGTCTCTACAATAAATCAAAAATTAGCTGGGCGTGGTCGTGCATGCCTGTAGTTCCAGCCATTTGGAAGGCTTGAGGCAGAAGGATCACCTGAGCCCAGCAGGTCAAGGCTGCGGTGGCTGTGAGCGGTCCACTACACTCCAGCCTGGGTGACGGAGTGAGACTCCAACTCAGAAAAAAAGAAATAGTAGTCTTGATTCTTATCATGCCTTCAATTTAAGCAAGTAAGTAGATACAGCACAAAACAGCTTTGGAAAACGAAGGACTGTTTCTTCTCAAGGAATCCTGGTTTCCTCTCTGCTTCTGCCAAAGGAAAAGATTGATAAATCTGAACACATTAAAGCTTTAATACATCAATAAACACAAACAACATGAAAAGGCAGACTCAGAGAAAAATAGCTCTAGTGTCCATTCAGACAAAATTATTAAAAATGTTTAATATATAACTAGATCTTACAAATATACACAAAACGGAATCTCCTGTTTAAAAAGGGGTTGTGCCGGGCTCAGTGGCTCAGCCTGTAATCCCGCGCCTTTGGGAGGCTGAGGTGAGTGGATTGCCTGAGCCCGTGGGTTCCAGACCTGCCTGGGCAGCAAGACCTCGTCTCTACAATAAATAAAAAAATCAGCTGGGCGTGGTAGCGCACGCCTGTAATTCCAGCTACTCGGAAGGCTGAGGTGGGAGGATCACCGGAGCCCAGCAGATCGAGGCTGCAGTGGCCGGAAGCGGCCACTGCACTCCAGTGTGGGCAACAGAGTGAGACTCCAAGTCAAAAAACAAACAAACAAACAAAAAAAAAAAACAAATAAAAAGGGGTTGGGCCATAATTCCAAAAGACACAATCCAAATGTTGAAATCCCAAAAGGTCAAAATCCATGAGGTCTAAAATCTAAAAAATCACAATCCCAAAGATGAAGATCCTGAAAATATAATTCTGGAAATTAAAAAAAATTATTTAGAAGAGATTTGTGTACATGTTTAAAAGAGAATTTATTTGAGAAACATAAAAATCCCTATGTCTACCACAAATATGTACAATTATTATGTGTCTATTAAAAATACATTTTAAAAATGTTTTAAACATGACAGTACACTTCATAGATCACTTTATTTACACAGTAAAATAGACAGTATTTTTGCAAGCATAACAGGTATACTAACAGTGGTCACACAAATATAACAGTTACAAGCAGGTGAATCATATTCATAAAAAATAGGTCAAAATGTGAAATGTGTAAGTGTTTATCACTGTGGTTGGTAATTGTGTGCACCCAGCTTTATAACTGCCATCATCTGAAATAAAATTATGACAACCTAAGTCTTTTGACAAGATGGGTCAAAAACTTCATTGGGTCACCACCTCATATACCAAGATCTCGAGAAATTTTTTCACAAATGCAGATGTACATCTCTTCGTTTATTGAGAAAGTTTTAGTGTTTTTATGTACATGCACAATGCTTACACACAAAGTCAACATTGTGATAATGTACTTTCATAGTCACATTTGCAAAAAGTGCAAAAAAATTAAGACTCTAATAAAAGCTTTTACACAATTCATACCTCCAGTATTAGAAATGATGCAAAGATGAAATACATAGCATAGTAAACTGGTGCTATGCATGAAGGGACAGAAGTTGCACACAGTGAATAATTTGGCAGGAGAGATTTTTTGTATTTTTCACCTGCATTTTCACTTCTATAATCTTTGAAACACTCACTGTACTTGTATTTGGTCTACAGATTTTGTAAGTCTATACTATTCATTTGAAAGTTTGGTTATTACTCAGCTGTTGCAATTAAATTTTCTGCTTACAAAGTAGCGATAATAATTAACTTTTAAACTTTTATGTTTCACCATTAGGTAACCTTGTATGCTTAAATTCATCACAGCCTTTTTGCAAAGAGAACAGTTTCACAGATCTCTTCCATTGTGTTGTAAGGGATACAGTAAAAAGGAATGATATTGGATTTCCCCAGTATTATTATTATTATTTATTAGTCAGGCTTTTCCAGAAAGTCAGAACCAGTAACATAGGTAGAAATACAAGAGGGGATATATTAGGAGAATTGGCTCATGTATTTATGGTAACTATGAGGTCCCACAGGCTATCTGCAAGCTGGAAAACATGGGATTCCAGTAGCATGACTCAGTCAGACTTCAGAACTAGGGAAGCCAGTGGACTTCCTTTCAGTCCAAGGCCAAAAGCCTCAGAACTCAAAGATTGGGGTAGGGTGGCCGCTGATGTAAGTCCTGAAGTTCAAAGGCAGGCAAGCCTAGAGCCTGATGTCCAAGGCAGCAAGCAAAAAGTCCGTCCCAGCTCTCAGACCAGTTTACCTTCTGTAGTTATTCTGTTTCGGCCTCCAGCTGATTAGATGGTACCTGCCAACACTGAGGGCAGATCTTCTCCACCTAGCTCACTCAGACTCACATACTAATCTCCTCTAGAAACACCCTCAAAGACATTCCCAAAATAATGCTCTACTAGGTTTCTAGGTATTCCTTAATCCAGCCAAGTTGACAACTAAAATTAAGTCCATAAATCCACCCCTTGTCAGCTTGGCACCCATATGCATCTCTTCTAATCTGTACTTACTTTACAAATAAAGACAATAACATGGCAATAGTTCCACCTACAACAGTGCACTACCATGATGCATCTCTCCTGCGTACAACTGAAAATGCACCAGTCAGCCAGGCTTGGTGTCTCAGCCTATAATCTCGCGCTTTGGGAGGCTGAGGTGAGTGGATTGCCTGAGCCCGCGGGTTCGAGACCCGCCTGGGCAACTTGGCGAGACCTCATCTCTACAATAAATCAAAAAAATTATCCAGGCGTGGTAGCATGTACCTGTAGTTCCAGCTACTTGGAAAGCTGAGGCGGAAGGATGGCCAGAGCCCAGCAGGTTGAGGCTGCGGTGGTTGGGAGCGTGCCACTGCACTCCAGTCTGGGTAACAGAGTGAGACTCCAACTCAAAAAAAAAAAAGAAAACGCACCAGTCTCTCCCCTAGAATTCAGCTTTCAGAATTTTGGCATTCAAGATTTTAATCTTTCAGGATTGTGGTTTGGGAATTTTAGACTTTTTAGGGATTATTGATCTTTTGGGATTTCAACACCTGGGATTATGGCATCCAGGATTGTGTCTTTCAGGATTGTGATCAGCATCAGTTTAAAAAAAAAACGAACAAAGACTATGACGAGAAGTTCTTCACAGACTCACACTTGAATGTAAATTGCCAATACACACATGAAAATATTGATATGGTTTTTATAATGTAAATATAAAAAATAAGTCCCTTTTCTCCTTTCAGATTGGCAGAGATTATAAACAAAAATGATATTCATTGATTGAACTATCTTAGTGTAACTTTTTTGGAGAACAGTATGAATTAAGAAAATATATAATCTTTAACCCAGCAGTTTTACTTTTATAAATTTTTTTTTCCACAAGGAAATATCAAGCAGTTTTGCAAAGATGTATTACCAAAATGTTCATTATAGCATTATCTATATAGCAAAAGATAGAAATAATCTAAATGTTTACTAGAAAGCAGTTGGCTAAATAAGTGACAATGTCACAAATGGATTACTATGCAGTCACTAAAAAGCTAAGGTAGGTGTAAATATATTAACAATGATTTAAAATATTAATTTTAAAAGGAGCATATTACAAAACAGTGTGTATAATATGTTTTTATTTACCAGTTTATATTTATACAGTGTAAAGTCTGGCTGTCTAAAATAATGTCTTCTCTTGATAATATAATTCAAGAACATTGTTCATATATTTTAATTCAGTAATTTCACTTATAGAAATCGCTTCTAAAGAAATAGTAAAATGTGAACATGAGTATAAAAGTGTTTGCTGGCCAGGCATGGTGGTTTAGCCTGTAATCCCAATACTTTGGGAGGCCAAGGCGAGAGGATTGCCTGAGCCCAGGGGTTCGAGACCAGCTTGGGCAACTTGGTGAGACCGTGTCTCTACAATAAATCACAAAAACTAGCTAGGCGTGGTGGCATGTGTCCATAGTTCCAGCTACTCGGAAGGCTGAGGCAGAAGGATCACCTAAGCCTAGCAGGTTGATGCTGCGGTGGCCATGAGCATGCCACCGCACTTCAGCCTCGGCGACAAGAGTGAGACTCCAACTCAAAAAAAAAAAATGTGTTGGCAGTATATATTTTGGATACATGGAAATATCCAAAAATGGTGGAATGGTTAAAAGTTAAAAAATAAGATCAGTTT